ACAATTTTATTTAGACATAAATATTATTGAGAGGACACTTGACTTTTATCATTGGAGTTTGAATGCATGCATGTGGTATTAAGAACATATAAAGAACAAAGATAGTGAAACTCAATCTTGACAAGACTTCTAAACTCTATTCTAAAATCAATTTTATTGTCTTAATTTTCTTATAAGTAAAAAGAATACTTTAGTCATAAACAAACAATTCGAATACCTTTTGAACTTACAACAATCGAAATTATAGAACGGCGGTAGTAACACCAATCTCTGTGGATACGATATTAAAAATATTTGTCGGAAATATACTTTTCAACAACTATCTCTCCAGCCTCGATTAGGTAACGAGCCACATGTTCGATGATAGACTCCGTCGTATCTCCTGAAAACTTAGTGAACTTGGGTACTTTCGTCCTAGGAGGTAACTCCGCCTGAAGGATATAGTCTACTATAGGTGAAGTGTAGTTTGGCCTGGTGAAACCTGTGTTTAACCCATTTCTGGCCATAATTCTCTCGACCATGGCCGCTAGATTATTGTCAATGGCTATGTTGTTTTGACGAACATGCTGGACTACATTGTCTGCGTCTTGGTTTCGATTCACAACCACTACTCCTGGATTCCTTTCTCCCAAGCCACGGGGCTGGTTTTGCAAAGGCTCTTCCTAAGTCCTTCGACTAACGGAGGGGCCATCCTTCCTTGGTTTCCTACGTCGACTTCTGCCATATTCGCCAAGTTGTCTCGTGGGGTACCCGTTACTACGGCTTGGTTTCTGGTTAAGGGAGGTACCCCTATGAATTCAGCCAACCTTGTTAGTTGTACCGCCAGTTGTTGATTGGTCTGGGTTGTATTTTGGATTAATGGTTGAAATATTTCACCCATGGTTTGTAACAAAGTCTGAACCATTTGTAGGTTACTTTCGTCCATCTGCTACCTTAAACAGGCAACTGAGGTATTGGTCAAATTGGGGCCTTGCGTCGAATACCCTAAACTCTGGCTTTGGGGGTTTCGACCCATGTTCACGCCTGACCCTGACCCCTGTAGCGGCGAAGCCATCGCCTGATCTGAGAATATAGGAGGTGAACTTTGGAGCCCTTGCATCATAGCAGTGGGCATCCCATATGAGGGGTTTCTTGGTGACTGTGAAAAACCAGGGGGAACAAACTGCCTGGATGTCGAACTTCCTCCTAACAAAATCTGAGGATTTGACGTTTGGTGACCAATGTATTCCAACACTGGCTGAGTATAAGGCCTTATCACTGTCGATCCTACCCTAAGTACGGAAGGCGTCTGTACTAGCCTTACTGGAAGCACCGTTTGCTCTCCCGTCGAAGGTATCGGAGGGGGAACTCCCTCGTCTCTTATCCCCTCATTGGAACCGTCTCCTTGATGGTTGGCGTTATCTGGGTGGTTCGTATCCGTAGCCATGTTCCTACTACTTCGTCTTGGTCGCGTCTCTTTGTTTATGTCATACCCTAAATTTGTCCTACCCGTGCATACTTTTCATCCACACATCTATTTACCAAATATCATTCAGAAAATCAAAAAAATAGGTTGCTTTTGTTTGAAGTTTAGATTCACGAGTTTGTGAGATTAAACTATATTGAATCAAGGGGGATTTTTTTATTGTTTCAAGATTCTCATGTGTCAAAAAGGTCCATATTACGGCATGATTCATTCAAAGGTTGTTGAGTTTTGGGTTTTTATCGCAATTTATGGATTTAACTCGAATACGACATTAGTTCAAACTTCTTCAAAGTATATTTGGGGTCCTTCTGGGTTAAAGCCCATTACCCATGGTTCAAGTTGCATTTAATGTCAAAATTTTCTTCAATATTCATAGTTTTTCTAAAGTTGTTATCATGTCCAAAATCCATTCAAAGTCCCACACAAAAAAAGAGAGCCCGTTAACTTTTGACTCATTTGCATTGTCAAAAAAATAAAAGAAGTTGATATAATTCCAATCCCATTGCTCTAAGGTCCGCGTGTAAATAAATGCCTATGTATTCACTTTTACAATAGAGAGTATGCAAGCTACTTTGATTTATGAGCATAAAATGGAAATAATAAGAGTATAACAACTTCTCAGCCATCCATCCAGCCTTCGCATACCCGCAGGCAGGACATTGCACAACATGTGATATTGTCGTCACGTACATGGTATCACAATTGCCAGTTTTCATGATAATACAGGTCAAGCTGGCACCACTTGTTATAACCATCACCCACCATTTCACCTCAAGGATGTCACGAAAGTTTTGCTACAAGGTTCATGTACGAAAAAATTGAAAAGCAAACATATCCCCAAGCTGGCCCACCGATCAAACTGCAGCAAAACATCACCTGCACCATGTACAATGTTGGCAGAAGGAAAACTACAACCTGTAGAGAAATAGAGGGAGAGTGATTTTAGTAGATGCTTTCCACAATACCTTAATATCAAAATGCAACAGCACGCGGTACGGTTTGCACATACCTCAAAGCCAAACCTACACCAGCTGCCTTCATCTTTTGCATAACACTCCAAAAGAAAACCTGTAGAATTTCAGAACATCAACACTGTATCTATGTTTTAGGAATACACAGCTAGAAATCTCCAAGCTCAACCTTAATACGTGGAGCCATATCTTGGATAAAGAATTCGACTCATCCACGTTTTTCACAACACAAACTGGTACGATTGTACCCGAACCTCCAAGCCACTCGCACAAGGTACGACCAATGTGATGTGGGCGGAAATCCTTCATGACAAACAACCTGTCAAGAAAACCATACAAAGTTTAGAAGGAAAAATCAATACCATTGGCCATAACATGAAGATGAGGATATCTGCATAAGCTGTACGTACCACCACAAAACGCAGACCGCAGGTCACGCGTAATAATAAGCTTCACAACAGCAAAGGAAAACTCTGCAAGAAAATGAGAGACCTTTCTTTTTCTCTGCAAAATAATCAGGCCACACAAACAATGTTACAAGAATCCTTACATATCACATGAATT